AAGTGCTGGCTCATAGCCCTCCCCACATCACGGATTTCCCAACGGGCACACACAAAAGCACTGCTATCAGATATGAGAGCTGCACTTGAGAGGTGTCTTGCTGTACTGCCCTCTGGCCTGCGAAACACAGAGCTTGGCTGCCTTCTCAGCTAAACACATGGCCAAGTATTCCAAGGCAATTTCCACAACATACTGGGTTGCAAAGGGAGGGGAAACTGGCAGGAGCCTCACAAAGCAAGCAAGGAAGGAAGGACAGGTGGACAAATGGATGCTGGACAGAAGGAAGCTAGCCCAGGTGCCATCTTGGCCCCTTCCAGTGGTGGGCCCATCCTCTTCTGCCAGAACTGGTGGACAAGTATCAGTTCACTGCAGTGGCCCCTTTCCTGCTCTTGGCAGCGCTTCGGCATAAGCAGAGCAGCATGGATACACAAGTGGAAAAAGTGTTTTACTTTCAAGAAATGCTTTTTCCCTTGCTCCAAGCTCGCTGGAAGGACTATTTACAGAGATGCAATCCTGGAGGATCTAAAGAACCACACACACCTGGAGGCAAAGAAGGACCAGTGTGCTAGGAAGGAACTCCTGCAGGAAGCTTGATGCCAAGAGCTGTGGGGAATGGTGCCAGGGGGCATTTTGGCACGACTAACACAGCAATTTCCTCAAGCCTGCAGAGGCTGATGAGGGTGCAAATGTCCCTGCCTGGATGGATGTGGCAAATTAACATGCGGTTAAGTTCAGAATTTGAGGCATCACCCTGGTAGCCAGCTGGCTCTGAGCTCCACTCCTCTGCAGCCCTGGCACACCGTTCCACTTTCAGAGGGACTCGTGAACCAAGCTAAGGTGTGTGCGAGGGAGCTGCCCCCGGTCCACCGTGGGCGAGGCAGGGCAAAGTGCTCCTGGCTGCCTCCACTGCCGTTTTGTGCTGTGCGCTACCGACGGACACAGGGACAAATTCACCAAAAGCCCCAAATTGCCATTCGCTGGTGGGACCAAGTTTTCCTTAGCATGTGGATGATGCACTTGCAGAAATGTCATCATCAGTTTTCACCACAGTTTGAGCAAACTGCGCATCAGACAAACACGCAGACAACTCATGGGGAACTACCGTGCTCCTCTCCCTGTGGCACTTCGGTCCGCCTACTGCAGCGAGTGCCGCTGCTCACCTGGACATGCATCCTTCCAGTACAGATACCATTAAAATAGTGCAAAGCTGGCTTGGCATCGTGCATGCGTGTGCGCGGCCTCCGTGATGCCGGGTGCTGGTCAATCACGGCCACCGATTGTGAGGCCTGCTGCAAATGCACGGAGCGGTTCCCCTGCCCCCCGAGGGGTCGGCCCTGCCAAGGAAAGGCGCACTCGGCAGCAGCCCAAGGGGGTTCCTTCCAGACTGAGGGGCCCACGCCACAAAATGAGACCTGGCTGCAGCCCCGGCACAAGGTGAGCGCTGGCCTCTGAGCAGCGCAAAAAGGTCCTCGTGCGGCGCTTCTTTCCGGCACTTTCTGCTTGTTCCACCTGGGACAGAGGCAGAGCCCTCCGCGGCCATGCCGGGCACCAGAGGCCAGCGGGAGGTCCTGCCAGGCCTCAAGCCGCAGCGGCCACGAGCACCGGCATCGCCACACCATGCCTCGGTCGCGGGCAGGAAACTGCAAGCTCACGGAGAGGCTGCGTGTGCTTGCGGGTGGGGGTGGCTCTTTGTTCTGGAACAGAAACAGAAATGTGTAAATCAGCAGATGCCTAATTTTTATTTGTGTTTGGACAGAGGGAGAGTGCTTTAATGATCAGTCCCTGCAACAAACATCCAGCCTGGTCTTAACCAGCAGACAGACACGCCTCATGGCGCCAGAGAAGCTGCCCAGGGAAATGCCACCTGCAGCCAGCTGGAAGGAGCCCAGCCACAAGCCCCAGTGATAGTGCAGGGAAGGGGCAGCAGCAGAACCCGCCCAGGCGGGAGGGCAGGCTGGCACAGGAAGCAGAGTGGGGGGCAATTGTCGACAAGGACCTACAAGGCCAGCCAAGCTTTGGGGGGTGGTCCAGACACAGCCTGAAGCAAGAAGCCCTCAGCTCTTGCTGCAGCCATGGTAATCCTCTGTGGAAGCTGAACGGAGCCGAGCCGCCCCTTTCCCAGGGTTTGTGGTGGCCTTGGCCAAGCCTGCCCAAGCCACATGGCAACTCAACTGCATGGACGGCCTTCCAGAAAGAGTGCCCCTGTCCAGGGTTTCCACGGCAGCTGCTCTGGGCAGCTCTGGGCAGTCTGCTCTGGGCAGTCTGAAGAATGGCAGCCACCCAAGGAGGGCAAATGCCAGCTTGGCTCCAGTCTTGGGTGCCTTCTCACAAGCTGCCGGGGTTAAGCCACGAAGGGTGGTTGCCTCACAAAACCCCCAGTCCCACAGGAAATGCCATTCTTCAGACTGCACCCATTTCTCAGGCGGGGGCAGCAAGGGGGCTGGTGACAATGCCAGCAATGTTCTGGAGAGCAGCCGCCGCCCTGGCCAAGTGCTGCCCTTCCTGCCCAGCCCCACCTCAAACGACCGAGCAATCTCTGAGCACAGCCCGACTGATCCAGTGGGATCAGCCTGATGCCTGATGCCACCCAAACAAGAACACCAGGAGTCCTGCTGCCCCGTGCTAGCAGTGTTCCTTCCCGTGTCCCGTTAGACGCTTCTCTGGCTTCCCTCAAAACACAGCCCTTCAATCCGCCTCCCAGCCAGGACTGGCTGCCCGGTGGGAAAAGCGCTGGCCTTCGGGTGGCAGCCCTTCCGCAGCCCCACATTTAATCAGCGGGAGGATGTGTGCCGGGCAGAGAGACCAAGTCAGCGGTGCCACAAAAGCTCTTTTCTAAAGCACAGACTGGAAACGTGAGATGCTACTTCTCCTCCAACTAAACGATTGATGCTACTGCCTTCTCCCCATTTGTCCCGAGACAAAGAACGCTGTTTCAAGACCCAAAGAAGAAAGGTACCTTGTAAGAGATGCCCATTCCGCAGCCACTTGCAATTTCCTACCCTTTGAACTTGCCACTGCAATTCCAATTGGCGCCCGTGAAAGCGCCTTTCTTTTGCAAGCTACCAAATTTTACATTCTGCAGTTTTTCTCCTGGCTGAAGCCTGGCTGTTGCTTGTCAAATATGCAAACACATACTGATTTTTGCTGCAATAATTGAGATACTGTTTCCCCATACGGCCATCAAGGCAATTTACAGAAATGATAAAAGCATAAAATATAACAGTAAAAACACAGTAACATAGTCAGTGCGAAACTAGAATCCTACTGGCTGGGTCGATTTTTTTTCACATAATGTACAGAAGAACGGGATGATTTATATACGACTAAATCAATCTGCCGGCAAGCCAGGACTTATCTCCAAGGATTTGGAGGCCTTCCCAGCCCTGAGACCGAGGACCACTGACCGGGAAGGCGGCAGCTGGCGTGGGAGGCTGCCGACACGCCCCGCCCGCCCGCCCGCCCCTCCTTGCCGCATACTCTCTTGCAGCTGCAAAACTGGGTCACGGCTTTCAAATGATGCTCCACTTTTCGAACACGCAGGCCCAAACTCGGCATCCAGGCAAAGCACACCACCGCTGCCGGAGCCACACGAGGTGAGAGAAGAGCCAGGCCGCAGCATGCGGCGTGCCTCCAAACTGCCTGTCTTGTGCCAGACCAGGCAGACGTGGAACGGGAGCCGAGGGGATGGCTGGGACGCACCTTTCTTACTTGTCTCGCTTCCTTCCTTCAGCTGATACCTCAGAATTCCTCCAGTCAGGAATGTCGCGCCTACGTAACTGGATGTGATTTCCATGGAAATAGCAAAGGAAGTTCTCCGTGCTAGAAAGTGCCTGTTTGCATCAGCAGCAGGATCCTTCCTCTGCTACAGGAAGATTTTCTACGAACTAGAAAGCCCCTAGCAGCTTCTCTGGGCACTGCGGGCCAACTGGGAAATCACGGGGGAATCTCTCTGCCTGTTTGTGCTTCTTCCCTCTCCCTTGCCCACCTTCTGTCTCATGCACCGCACCAGCACACTCGAGGGCAGGGTGGGCCACGGGCAGCGCCCCACACCCGAGGCCACTCCTGTGCTGCTGAATCCCGGTGAGGCAAATGCGGCCATTTTCTCTTATGCTGTGGTGGTAAAGCGCTGCAGAGACGGAAGCATTCCAGAATAAGTTTGCTTTCAAGCTAAATGTGTCCCTTTGAGTCTCCATAGCGATTTGGCACAGAATTTTGGTGGCAACCACTGATTAATTTGTTACCGCAGGTGGTGTGGAAGTTGCCCCCAAACTGCTGCAAGTTGCCCACGTGTCTTCGTGGCAACCTTCCGCAACCTGGTGTACTCCAGGCTGCTGGCGGGTCCCTGAAAGGTGCGGTGCAGGAAAAGATGTCTAGAGCACACCACTTGCTGGAGGTTGGCTGTCGGGTGGCTCCATCGGACAATGCCGATGGCGCAAGAGAAGAGGCAGGCCTCACCTGGAGGGAAGGTTCTCTAGAACTTCCTAAGAAAGGGCACGGAAGAAGGAGTCCCCCCACTGTTGCTGCTGGAAGTGCCTCTCATGCTTCCGCAGCAGTGCCTGGGACCCACCCGCTCCCAGCGACTATCCTGCTGAGAAGCAGCGCAGGAAAGGTGTGTGGGTGTTTCCATGCTTAGCAGCCAGGCACTGGGGAGTGGAGGAGAGGGGAACTGAAACCGAAAGCCAACTGCACCAGGAGAGCTCCTTTACTGGGAGGGCTCTCTCCTCAGGACGTCTTCCAGGTGGTGCTTAACTGAGTGTTGCTGGGGGCCACATCCCTTCTGGGCATTGCTGGGAGGAGCTGGTGGCTGCAAGGTGTACCATGGAAAGAGGTGGTGACGGCCCCATGCTCTGGGATGCAGCGAGGACAAGGAACAAGCCAGGCCCCCTGCGAAGTGAGGGGCTCGGCCAGGGCCAGTCCTTGGGCACCATGAGAGGCAGAGCAGCAGCACCGCGACATTTGCACCCTCGGCATCAGCAAGCACTGAATGCGCCAAGACCTACCTGGATGTTGTCGAAGGATGCTCTGTTTGTAACATCATAGAGGAGCAGTAAAGCTGGAGGGAGGAGACAGAAGAAAGGATGCAGGTCAAGGTGCAGAAGTGGGCACTCACCAAGCACCACAGAATGGGGGGGGGGGCAACTGCAGGGCTCCTCTTGGCACTAATTAGAAGGCCAGAATCGGAAGGCTAGCCTGTCTTTTTCACCTTGGCAGATCTGCTGTGGTAGGAAAGAACTCGGAAGGCTGGGAAAACTGAGCTGAAGACACGTCTGGGCCCCCTGTGCATGTGGGGATGAGGCAGGGGGTTGCTTGGGAGCCGGCCCATGCATGGCACCTCAAGCAGACAAGCGTTTATGCCGAGCCTCCGTGCCTCAAACCAGCCCTGTGGGCTGTGGTTCAGCTGTGATGAGCGTGCGCCTCTCAGCCTGGGTAAAGGGTCTGTGAGGATGCAGCCAGACCCTCATCCCAGCTTCCAATCGACCTGCAGGAGCAATCGGGTGGCATTCATGGGGAGCCGCCCCAGCTTTTGCTCATTCACTATAGTTTGGTTGGGTTTGCCTTAAGGAAAGGCAGCAGAGGGGGATTGTGGGTGAGGGTCTTTGTCGGCATCCCTCGGAGACTTTGGCAAATGAGGTAGGGAGACAGCAATGTAAAACTCACTGGAAGCAGGTTGACGCATCCTGCCTTGTGGTTGTGCAAGACTCTCCTCCCCTCAGGGCCTAGAAAATATTTCTACCTCTATTTTTGCTTAGAAAATATATTCCCTGCCCTGTCCATTGCTAGTCAACACAGTGAGGGCAGTTGCTGGGCACAACGCCTCTAAGGAGGAACCCTCGCTTGCTTTGCATTTCTTGTTCTCTGCACCCAGCCTATTGATGAAAACAGCACTTCCCTCTTCCAGCCAGCCTGGGAAGCTCCCAGTCCGGGGGGTGGGGGTGCGCTCCCCTTTGCTCATTAGCTCGTGCTGACTTCAGGGCATCTCCCTGACTCTGAGGGAACTGCACTTTGCAGAGACGCTGCTGATGTTCCCTCGAGCTCCTGACAACACAAAGACCTTTCATGCTATCACACACTCCATCAGGCAGCACCTCAGCGGGGAGCCCAATCCTGAAAGTAGGGCAGATGAATTTAACCGCCCCCCCCCAACAGAATGGTGTCTCTGATCTACTCCAGGGTGGTGTGTGTGTGTGTGTGTGTGTGCGCGCACGCGGGGGGAAGAGATCCCCTTCCCTGTGGCTTTTGTGGGAGGCCTCGGTAGATGCTCTTGTGGGATGCCTCTTTTGGCTCCCAGGCCATAGCGTGGTGGACATGGGGCCATCTCCCTTCCTTCGAAGGCCAGGCCTTCTGAAACATGCTCCACTCTGGGGCTCCGTTCTGCTCTGCAGCCTGAGAGGGCATCTGGTGAACTGGCTCGGTTCGCTCTGCTTGTCCATCTGTCTTCACAAAGGTGTTGCCCTATTGTTACAGAAGCACCCAGGAGTGTGGAAAGCTGCTGGGGCAGAGCACAGATTCAGGACGGATGGGGCAGAGCACTCGCCACTTTTCACCAATGCTTCCCACAACCGCGAAAGCCGTTATCTTCCAGCGGTCTCATTATGGCTTCAGAACTGATGGATGGTGCTGCACTCGCCCTCAACTGACCATCTCCCGTGATCTGCAACCCTGACTGATCCAAGGGGCTTCTCGAGGCTGCCTGGGCCACACACGGGCAGGATGAAGTCACGAGCAGGGGAAGGAGAGCAGTGGCGCTGGGCACAATTACAAAGCGAACATTCTCACAATTAAGGAGGTTTGGGGAACATATTCCTGTCCCCAGAGTTCTGCTTTCAACTCTGAAATCAACACAGAAGAGCCACCGCGATGCTGCCGAGTCTGTCTTTTTTCTTTCCTCACCATGTTCCACACCAATCGCTTCTCAGTCAGAAAGCAAGAAAGGTGTCGGGTTCTCACCATGAGCATCGCGGTAGTACGCATGTGTCACACTGCGAAATCTCTCCTGGCCTGCTGTATCCCAGATCTGAAATGGCAAGAAGCAAACAGGCCATTTTGAAGAATACCATTTAAACAAGCTCACGAGCAAGACAGCGATTTGGAGAAACAACCTCTTCCGCCCAATATGCTGCTACGCAAAGAGTCAGCCAAGGGGGAAGAGGTGGGTTGTTCCTTTGCTTCCCTGCTAGAATGGGCAGGAAGCAGAATTTTCTTTTCAATTAACGTACTGCTATGAAGAAACTCAGACCCTTGCACAGCATATTGTTAATCGTGTCGCATCTATTTTTTCCAAGCCAAACACAGTTTCATTTCCCTTGCAGAAGCTGCACTTGATCTCCATTCCGGTGCCGGTCGATCGCCTCGCCAAGGGCAGATCCACACAGAGCGTGCTGCAGTGTTCCCACCCTGGCCTGTTCCACTGAGGCCAAATTATCCCTGTCCCAGTGAGGTGAACTGATCCGAGACAGTGGATGGCATGGTGGACCACCACGGCCACCTGGACTCCAATGGCAGCCCCAGTGATGGAACTAGAAGCACCCTGGACCTCAAACGTGGCCGTTCAGGGGTGGGCGCCCCCGCCCAGGGCAGGCAGCGAATCCACCTGCTGGACCCACAGGGCCTCCTTTCCTGGGATCCAGGAACAAACTCGGTGTGCAGCAGAAAGCCAGGCCCTGAGCTGCACCCAGCTTCGCCTCTGCACTGCACCCTTTTCCAAGGAATGCCACATGGCAAGATCTGGGAAGCAGACACATTTCTGCAACGGCCGAACAGAGGTGCTCTCCTGCATGCTCTGCAGAACTGCACTAATGCTGAAAAACAGCAGGAGGAGCTGAGCTGCCCCGAGGCTTTGTTGCGATGGGGGCGGCATAAACACGTTTTAAATAAATAAATAAATAAAATAAAAAGAAGGCTGCTCTTGGTGGAAACCAGCAGCACGTCGAGCTGCCCTCACCATCACCAAGGAAAGTGCTATTTTTGGCAGGGAGGCGAAGGTCCAATCCACTTGAAGCGTGTGAGTAATTGTCACAGAGGGATGCTGGTAAGGAGAATGACAGACCAGAGGTGCAGTGAGCAATGCGCTTCCCAAGCAGGATGTGCCATCGCGCAACCCAAGGAAACGTGGAGGAACAAACTCCCCATCTGACGAGCCTGCAGCACATTCCTCATGGGGAAACAGCAGCCAATGGGCACACGGACCGTCCATCGGCATCTCCAGGGAAGAGCCGTTCCCGGCCCTGGACGGAGGGCCGCACCATTCCCGTTGCGCCCAGGAGGAGCAAGGACTGTGCCGTGCCGCTCGCTCCAGCGCTCATTCTTAGGGGCGGGGGGAGGAAGGCGTGTCCCAGGCATCCATCCAGAGAGGACAGAAGCAGTCAGTGCTCCTGTGAACACCTGCGCAGCTGTGAGCAGAAGACGTCCTGCAGGGCCGGGCCAGGAGGTGCGTCGAGGCCCACGCTCCGTGAGGCGAGCCGGGGAGTAAGGGAGAGGCCGGCCCGAGAAGTGGCGTCCCCAGCATGCTGCAGCAAAGGGGTGGTCAGGCCCCCAATCTGGATGGCCTCAAAAGGGGGCTAGGTAGATCCCTGGAGGAGGCGGCAGCTGCCAGTGGTGACTCACCTCGCTGGATGAGCTGCCTCCTTCAGCAGAGGTCCTGGGCGGGAGGAGGTCTTGCACCCTTCCTGCTGGGGGGATCCTGGGGGCCACGGCTTGCCGCCGTGAGTGCGGAGTGCTGGGCTGGGTGGTCCTTTGCCCTGGTTCTGCAGGGCTTTTCTTACGCTGCCCTGACTTCTCTTTCAGTCACAGGACTTTATCACACACTGCTGGATCCCCCTGTAATGTCTGATCTAACGGCTCTCTAGTACCAGAGTCCTAGCCGCTGTATGGAAGACTTGAGGAAGTGGCTTGTCCAGGGAAACAGCTGATCTGGTTGCAGTCCTCTCCTGGAGCTCAGGACCACGAGACGTCGTCCAGCACTTCCTCACTGCGGCCAAATGCGGTCCTGCCACCAGCATCCGAGTTTCGGCTCCAGGATCCTTCTCCTTCAGAGGACAGCAGGCTTGCAGGGGCCTTTTTGGTCCCCCCCACCCCCCCCACCCCAGGCTGCTTTCCCCAGCAAGGCCTGCCATCCTTCCTGTACCAGATTTTCCTCTCTTCCTGTGCATTTCACAGCATATGATGGGGCTTTTTAGTGCTTCTTGTTTGATTAGGTCCTCATATTTAACCGTTAATAGTTTTTAGTGCTTTCATTTTTTATATTTATTAAATGTTTTATTCTATTCCTGACCATGTTGGACTTCGGGGCTTGATTTTTAATTTTTGTGAGCTGCCCAAGGAGCTTCAGCTACATAACAGAATACATGAGCAGACAAAGAGATTGTCTTACCTGCAGCTTTACTCTCACGCCATCCACATTTAAGACTTTATTCTAGAAGAGAGAGCGAAGAAGTGAGCGAGGCCGTGTGCCTGAACTCCCACTGCAACTGGTTTGGTTGAGCTCCAGGTAGAACACCCAAGCCCCTGTGTCACCAGGGAGGGCCAGAGCAGTTCCAGCCTGAAACCCGGGCAGCGGCTGCCGGCTGGGGCTGCACCGGTCGACCTGCAGCCTGGCCCGGGATCGGGCAGGTTCACCTGCTGGCCAGAGCACTGAGCTTTGCAGGGCAGAGGCGCCCAGCACGCACAGGGCAGTTCCAGCACCGCTGCGGGAGACCCCGCTGTGACCGCTCCCAGCAGCCTGCTCCTTCCCGGCCTTGCGAGCACCAGAGGGGTTGGCCTACAGCCCCCATCATCCCCATGGTGGCACTGCCCTGGAGTGGAAGTCGTCAGACAAGAGGAGGGTGCTGGACTGGAGGCGGGATTGCTGCGCAGACCCCTGGGCAATCGGTTTTTTGGGGGGAATGCATTGCCCAGGCATGCGCTTGGTTCCAGGAAGGGAAGGGCAGGCGGCAGGGGCCAAAATCGGGGGGCTGCCGCACAGACAAGCGTGCCGTGGGGGGGGGGGCCTGCAGGCCTGCCTCTGCTTGCACTGCACAACCAGAAGTGCGTGCAAGGGAGCCAGCGCCCAGGAGGGTGCAGAGAGCTACTGGCTGCTGCACCCGGGGCAGAGCAGAACAGAACAGCTGGCGTTTCTTGTTTAATGTTTTCGAGCAGCTGTGACCATGCAATCCACAAAGGTAGATGACGGACAGAACTGGCAGCTGGCCGGGCCTTGCCCAGCCAAAGGAGAATGCGGGGCTTCCTCCCCCGCCTGTGACCCGCAGCACTGCCTCTGCGCAGCTCCCTTCCGGCATGCAGCTTTTGCAACTGGGCCAGAATCTTGACAGGTCGAGCGCTTCTCAGAGCAATCTTCCGCTCTGCACAAAGAGCCGGCTCAGAAAAGAGACATCAAAGCACCCCAGCCAGCAGCACCAGCCTCAGAAGCGAGTTCAAAGCCACGCCAAAGCCGCGTGCTGCCAAAGCCGTCCCTAAAGAGGTCGCTGCTCAGCGAAGGGTGGCACCGGCAGATGCAGCAGGGCGCGCCTGGGACTCCCCGGGAGCACGAGGGCCGTGGGGCACCTGTGGGAGGCTCAGGACGGGGACAGGGGGACCTGCCCGCAGGTCTCCAGTGCACAGCCCGGGTCCAGAGGGTGTGGGGGCCCCACGGAAAGAGGCCTGGGCGGTCAGAAGCCCCAGGTCAAGTCCCCATTTCGCTCCCTGTCAGAGACCTCCTGGTTCTGTTTCCTGGAGATTACTCTCACCCACTCAGAACCAGGTGTCGTCCTGTTTGGCTTTCGCTGGAGTGACTCACCCCCCTGTTCCTCCTCCTGACTCTCACCACGCTCTCTCAGAACACCCTGTCCTTTGCCTCATCCCTCTATCCACTGTGAAATACGCACGTCGCACCGAGGGCCCCCTGCCCGGCACTTTGTTTCCTGCTCCAGGACCCCAAGAGAAGCCTCTTGGCTTCCGCCACCTCCACCCTCAAGCCCAGTAATTCCCAAGCTCTGCCCATCAGAAATAGGGCAAGGCGGGTTGCCGGCCCGTATCGGGTGCTTCCTGCCACCTCTCTGCCAGAGTCCTTGCTCTGGCCTCCCTCCAGTCGGCCTCCCGTTAGAGGGGTCAGGGAACTGCTGCCACATCTCTGGTTTGTTCCCAGTGCAGGGGATGACCTGCCCTCAGAGGCTGCTGCCTGTCATGTCTCTGTATGGGGCACTCTGCTGGCGCTGCTCCTTTCCTGTCAACAAGTTCGGGGAGTTTGCAGGAGATCAGCATATCTTCCGGCTCCCTGCCAGGGGCCTGAGCAATGGGGCAGAGGCCACGAAAGGCTCCCTCTGCCGGACACATGCATGCCCGGGCTGGCAGCAAGAGTGCTTGGAGGGCGAGGGACCGGGAGTGAGTCGGGGCTGAACAGACAATGAGCTCAGTTCTGGGACTGAAAGCCAGCCCCGGGGCTCAGGGGCGTGTGCCCGGGCCCTCAAGCCGCTCGGAGGGAGTCTGCCTGTGGCCTCGCCACAGATTCGCAGCAACAGGCCACGAGATTCGGTCCAGCCATGTGTTGCTGCACTCTCCGGGCTCGATGCAAAATCCAGTTCCTGCCGCCCTAAATTCACAGGCCATCACAGCACGCTTGCCCCCACCCCAGGCCACAGGGCCTCTGGCACGGGGCCGGCGCACGCAAGCAGCAGGGCCCCCTCCAGGAAGGAGACGCTGCAGCCCACCCGGAGCGTCGCCATCCAGCTGGAAGCAGGAAACGTCACCAGGCATTTTGTAAAGATGCAAATCCAGCCATTGGTATGCCAAGGAACCTTCTTCCCAGCCTTGCACCTCCAGGGCACACAATTCACCAGAAAATGAGATCCGGAGCCTGGCGGGAGGGGCATGACTCTGGGCGCTGCAGCCCTCGCCTGCAGGAGGCACACCGTTATGGGGAACAGGCGAGGCCACCCCCCCTTGCTGCAGGCCTCGCCAGCCCCAGGAGTGCTCCAAGGAAAGGGCCTGAGCCGCGGCCAAAGACAAAGCACAGGGAGCAAACAGGGCCCCTGCGCCGTGTCAACGGGGTGAGCCACACAGCCAGGCACCGGCACAGGGCTGGCAGAGCGCCCTTTCCAGGGCCAGTCACCACAGCCCAGCTGCAGTCCACACAAGAGGCCCGCTCCGGAGCAGGGCCCGGCTCCCGAGGCGTGATTTCCTCCTGCACCGGCCACGCTGTGGCTTGCGCCTTCCAGCACCCGCTTTCTGGAGGGCCCAGCAGCTTCTGCTGACTCCGGGGCAGCACCTGCCAACTGCCCCCCCCCCCCGAAGCCCTGGGGCTTCCAGGGCACACGCAGCCAAGCAGCCTCCCACCGGGAGGGGTTTGCATGGCAGTCGCAGCCGTTTCCACTGCCTCCCCCCCGCCAGGCCCCCACTTCCACTCGCCCCAAGTGCACTGCCTACTCCGCCAGCACCATCCGCCCCCTGCTTCTCTGAGCTGCCATCCGTTTGGCTGCCACATGCGACGCGGGGCAGAAGAGGCCGAACCCCAAGTGCTGAATTGTACTCACCAGTGAACTAGACCAATAAACCCCCAACTTAACTGGGGAATTTATTCAGGAATGTACGAGCGGCTCCTTGCAGCCCTGTGAATTCCACGGCATCGCCATGAGAACCTGCTTGACGGTCTGCCTCTACGGTGTGATGTGGCAGGGCGTGCATGAGAAATCAACTGCAGATTTGATCAGGGCCTTACCCTGTTCTCGTCTTCTGGCACATGGATTTGGATGCAATTTGTGGGCAAAATCTGAGCTTTTCTGAGCTTGCAGCTTGACTTGTGCCCTGCAATGCATTCAGCAGCATCCATGCATTTGAAAAAAGCGCACAGAGAAAGCTTAACTCACAGGCGAAGAATGTGAATGCTTCAAAGTTACATTCACTGAAAATGAGTGCATTTTAAAAACGCATGTATTTCAAAATGAGTAGGTTGCCAAGGAGCACATTTGGCAGGAGCACACAAGGAAAGGGGGGAACATGGCGGGACGGGTGCACAGCCCTCTGTGCTCTTCTCCCAGCAAGGCTCCAGCCCAACACGCTCCCTCTGCCACGGAAGAACACGACCGAGGATGCGCTGCTTGTCTCCTGTGCTCCTCTCTTCTGCAGCATCTGGTTCTGCATGGATTTGGAAGCCAAGGGGGGATTGTTCTTTTGGTTAAAGAGAAGCGGTGCTGCAACCGTTTTTGACAATTCAGTAAACGAACCTCACTGGTGGGAGGAAATACATGGGTGATCCATGCGCCACATTGTGATGCCTCACTCTTCAGGCACGAGCCCGATGCACACGCGCACTGGGGACACAATGCAGCAGCTGCCCCCAGCTCAGCAAGTGAGGAGCTGACACCCGAACAGCAGCCAGCCCGTCACAGGCGCGTGTGCACTGGCCAAGTCCGCAGCGCACCTCCAGATATGTCCCCCAGAGCCAAAGGTGGAGAGCAATCGTTCAGCAGGAACAGGCACCGCAACGCCGTGCAGTCCCCACTGAATCGGGGGCAGAGGGCCGGGGCCGGGGCCCGTCTCTGGGGGCCGTGCAGTCGCACCCTCCGCAAGCCAGTCTCGGCAGGAGCCCGGCTGAGCAAAGCTCTTCTGCTCTTGAGGACCGTGTGCCCGTTGTGGGCAGTGGCCCATCTTTTCCTCCTGTGGCGGCCAGGTCTGGACGCACCCAGCCACACTCCGCAACTGGCTGGACTCAGCTGGGTGCCCTGGGCAGGGGGCTGCCTGCAAAGGGACCTCGGACAGCGCTCGTGATGAGGCACCGGATTGCTGAGGGGGCGGGCAGTGGGGCGGCCTTCTGCCACAGTGCGAACGGCACAGTGAGATTCCTGCGCCGAAGAGGCCTAGAAGGCCATCAGCCGCAAATCCCGTTTGATGCAGGACTCCAAGTTAAGGCACCCCTGACCCCGCTGCCCTCGAATGCCTGAACGCCTCCAGGGTGGGAGAGCCCACAGCCTCCCCGGGGCAGCGGTCCCATCGCCATGCAGCTCGAGTAGTCGGGAGCTCCTGCTTCTCCGCGGCAAAGAGCACTGGGGCCAGGACTGAACCCTGCGGTGCCCCACCTGTCGCCTCTGCCCAGGCCAAGAAAGTGCCACGGGTGATCCCGAGTGCAGGACACGGAATGATCCATTCAAGTCGCGGCAACCCAGGTTCAGGCTGACATCGGGAAGAGCTGCCTCACCGTCAGAGCAACACGGCAGTGGGACCAGCTGCCCAGAGAGGTGGGGGCTCTCCCACACCAGAGGCGTTCGGAAAGAGGCTGGACAGCCTCTGAAACTGCCCCCCTCACTACTGGAGCCACCCTTGGCAGCACTCAGACCCAGGGACATCCCATGAAACTGACGGTTGGGAGGTTCAGACCCAATACAAAAGGAACTTCTTTACACAAAGTACGGCTTAGCTATGGAACTTGCTGCCACGGGAGGTGGT